ACCCATATACCCTGACTCACCCACCCATATTTTCTAATTGACAATCGATTTTTCTTTTCTACTCTTCAAAATCTCAATATTAGTCGTCGATTTGCGCCAATAGTAACATTCGTGTCACCAGCAAATGAAGAAAGTTATGCATAGTGAACAAACCCACAATTGATATATTTCATTGTCTTTCTTTCTTTTCTTTGTTACAAGTTAAATAATCATATCAGAAACATAACGATATATTGTCGAGGGATATAGTGCAAGAAGGTAAAAGGTAGAACACAAACAGTGTTCACTACAGCCCAAAATGATAACTTCTCATTTTTCCATTAGATCGGTAACGATTTCGATGCTAAAGTCATCATTTTATGAAACTTGATTGAAAATGAATGTTCAAGTTCGCAGCGAGAGAACTGAACATAATCGATTCTCTCTTGCATCAAGCTCGAACGTTCTAAGCAAAAAAATCTCGACTGTCATACGCTGAAAAAGATAAACAGAAAAGAAATTCTATAACGTCATTCACGATGACAGATACATCAAAGTGTTGACCATCAATAATGCTTGAGATAGATTTTCGATGTGTTTGTCATGTTCTACGTTACTCTAGTGTTTTTAGAAATTCTAGTTTTCTTTTATTCATAATTTAGGTGACAGGAAAAATTCAGGCAGAAACTGCACCAGACTTTATGTAATTCTGATAAAAATGAGTTTTGACAGTACCAGCTGAAGCATATTTTTGGAAAAGTAACGACAGTATCTCTAATACAGCTCATTATTTCATTGGAACTGTTTTACAAAGACGTGTATAGCAATGAATGGGACAGATGCAGTATCAAGTACGGACGACAATTTTCTCAAGTATAGGATCAAATTTTCGTTATATATCGTATTACAAATTTCGTCCATAACACTCTCTCTATTTATTTTTGTATTTTTCTTTACTAATCGTACTATTTGGCAAAAACCTCAAAATAAAGCTCTATTTATTTTACTCGTAGTCAATACTTTTCAATTGATGCTGACCATATCGTTTTCACTTAATTTTTATGATTTTGGTCATGTCAAGCTAGCTGTACCGATCTTTTGCATTTTTCAAACTTTTATCGACTATACACTAAATGTAATGAACGTTTTTTTGATAGCTACAATTTCTGTTCAACGTCATATGTTCATCTTCAATTCACAATTGTTGCAAAAATATTCAAGGCAAATACTACTTCATTATCTGCCATTACTGATTTGCTTGATCTATCCAGTAATATTCTATACTTTTGCTATTATTATGTATCCATGTGATAATATTTTATGGGACTATACGAAAAATGGATGTGGCTATGCAAATTGTTATTTAATTTTTGATAAGTTTCTCGCAACATTCGATTGCATATTCAATGGAGCTGTACCGACTGTCTTAAATGCGCTTGCTAATATATTACTTTTCATGCGTTTCATTTTACAGAAACGTCGTATGCGACAAACGATGAATTGGCAACGACAACGGCGCATGGCAACACGATTGTTCTATGTTTCCAGTATTTATATAGTTGCTTTTTTCCCACCAATGATCGTCAGTCTTGTTCAAATACTTGGCTATCCGAATTTCCTTGTCGATGTACAAAATAATTATTTAAATGAACTTATTAGTTCCGTAGAGTTTGTACTTCCGTGGATTTATCTTATTCTTTTTTCCGAATCGCTCAACTGGATAAAAACTCTCTATCGTCGACGGCTTGCGACTGTCGCAGCATTAACTACACGCTGACACTTGCTAGGCATAAAACTATGAACTGTCCGTGAGAATAAGTGCTGATTAATTACAGCAAGTGTGTTTACAAGCTTTATGCATCTCTTTTAAATAAAATTTTGAAAAATTTGGTTCCTATATGAAAGTGTTACCATGTGCTGTACAGTTTTGAATATACTTTACCACTTACCAATTGCAACAGATCGTGATGAGCATGCCAATATCTTGGTTCGATTTTTCCAACTTCGGAATATCAGATTCAAGATGGACTATTGCACATTGAATATATATGAGATTTTGACGATAGAAAAACCATCATTCTCATCGCTGCTGTGCTCTCTTTAAGCTTTGGAATAACTAATCAATAATTAGAGGACTGTCATATAAAAATAAAGCGAGATCATCATACTTCACATATCTGACGTATCTTGGCTTCATTAAATAGCTTTTGCTGGAAATTGATCTATTGTTTTTAAATAAACGAACAAGAATTCGATACTGTGAAGAGTTCTGATGGATGAGCCATAAATAAGTAGAATACTAACAATATTTTCGACGTTTCTCTTGGTTTTTATACTAAATTGTGTTGCATTGTTTTCATCGAAAGATTTCTTGCGTAATTCTCTACAAAACGTGTACTGACTGTTATGCTCGGGGGGATAAAATATTGAACATGCTATGAAACATTTCGGAAAGGATTACAATAACATATTAACAGCTTAAAAAAATTTTAGCGTACTTTTTACTCAAATTTCATGGTAGCAGAAAGCTAAACTGACAAGCACCTAGGTTCTGCAGTGCTCTGATTTTCACAAATAACTTACAAAAACTATCACTTATAATTAGCCGCATAAGACTCTTAGTTTTCTTCTCCACTTTCTAATAGGAACAGAGTAATGGTATGGGTCTGCTTCTCCCTCAAATCCACACACACAACTTAGTTGTTAATTGAATTAATGTTAGTTGAGCGTGAGTATGCGAATAAGGATCTATGTGTTAATAGACGCTATTATAAATTAGATTCGTAATACATAAGATGAACTCGTTTAGATACAACTACATCGTGCGTCACTGAATTCTGTATTCAAGCCCTATCTTCCAATTTCAGTAAAGCATCTTACCTCAATAACAATGGCCAATTCCAAGAGTTGATCTTCACTTTTTCTGGAAAAAATGCCATGTTTTTCATCGTCTTATCTAAGATAAGCCATGCTATAGTTCGCATATCAATGACTTGTACTACTCATGAATGCTATTCCAGTTTAATCAACAACTAATACTGGATTCATGTGATCTTTTAACAAATAATACTCGGGCCTGCTTGATGATATACTTAGAAGCATTTCACTACGAACAATAAAATCTACAATACCAGCACTTATTCGACGAAAACCAACACAGACAATAGTTTTAGCTTTAACTTTCCTGCAGAGTTCTTCACGATGATATTAGCAGTGCTGCTTCATCAAAAAATATGTTCCAGATCACGATTGTCATATATTACAAGTTTACAATAATCATTGTCTAACATGATTTCATGACAATTAATAGAACGCTAAATGACATAGTAGGTAGCGATTATGTTTATGGTGAGGTATGGGTATGAATATTTTTTTGTTTTCTGTCACACACTCGCATCCTCTATAATGTAGATAAAAAAATACGAAGACTTAAATTTGTTCTTTCCAATTCATGTAATTTTCTTTTGGAAATAGTAAATTTTCTTCCGAACTGATCCTTTTTTCCAGAAGTTTCGATCAAATGAAGACGTCAATTTAATTTTGGAAAGTCTCATTATTGTCAGCAAATGACGTTATCTACTTCGGCTGCAGCTGATCTAGACGTCATTAGATTTTTAATATAGATTAACAGTTCTTCAAATTTCAATTGTGACACAATCGAAAGTTCATATGTAGCGAACATGTTTTCGTCGAAATCAAAATTCTTGTCAACTTCGTTTGAGCGATCTGGAAAATGCTTTTAAGTTTTCTTTTTTGCTAAATCTAAAATTCGAAATGAATCGAATGCCAATCTGATTCCTGTCCATTTCACATCAATGATGGATGAACCAATCATATGGAAATTCGTTCAGTTATTTCCCTGCGTCACATTTGTTTTGATTGTTTTGCAAATATTATAGTGAAAGTGACTTGAAAAAAAATCTTTGAAGAGAAAATCGAACAAGGAAATACATTCCACTTTTTCGAATTGAATCAATTGTCGAAAACAAAGGACAATTCTTATGAATACATTGTAATATTGATAATGATTCTAAAGAAAACAGTTCAATATCAAAACTCATTTCCATTGGTGAATCATCTAAAATAATTCTCATATCTAATAAAAAAAATATTGACGAAGTAAACTATAAAATTGACAAATGAATAAAATATTTTGTCACTTCAAATAGTAACAAGAATATATAGTCATTAATTAACAAAGTCAAGAATCTGATTACAAACATAAGCACAGAATTTTCAATAAATTTCATTTAATGCACTGCACATAAATCGCACTATCTTCATTAAATTATAGTGAATTTCATTCTTTCCAGAATAAGAAAAAACTGTTTATCTAACAACAATGATTCACAGTTTGTTCGTTGAATTTTTAATTTAATATAAAAGCAAGAAAATACTGTTCAACAAAAAAATTCAACCTAAACAACTAAAATATCTGGTATACTATTCTAGCCGAAACCAGACATTTGACTTTTTCCTTCACATCGTTCACATGGCAAGGAGAGACCATAGGTACCTGAAGAAATTCATATTGTTAGTATATTTGATCAAAGATTACTGACTTCTTTTTTTTAATGAAATACATACATTTATTACATTGTTCACAATGCCATTCTCTCCAATCGAAACATTTTTGGCATATTATACAATGCCATGGACTATTATCATCTAATACATCATTTTCACAAAATGAATAATAATAATCCATTGTTGCATCATTCGATAGAAGCATTTGAAAAAAATTTTTGAATAGGAGATAGTTCTTCATTTTTTTCGATTTGATCCCATGTTTTTCTCCATTCTTCGAATCTTTTATCATACAATACGCTTAAATAGCTAAAGATTTAAATATGATATGAATGTTAACGTAGAAAATAGAACGAAAAAGTAATTAAATAAATAATTTATTTATCTGCCACATTGTATCGTACTCAGACGTAATTGATTACGATCGATCATTTGCAGTTCATCTGCATTTTTAACATTTCTAACGAGCCAGTTTAAAAACTAAGGATGGGTGTGGATGTGGCTATCCCTCTTTCGTTTACTCACACCCACACTCTGTCGTTTACCTTTGGCAGAATGCATAGATTTTTCTCTTTTAAGCAAATAACATCGTTTTAAGCGATGTTACTAAACTTTTTATTGTTGAAAAAAAACTTAGAACTTTACTCGATCATCAAGGAAAAAATTACCTCATTCAGTGAAAGTATGGTGAATATATGCATTTTTCTTTTTGGTAGGTTATTACTAGGACACCCTGTATTCTACTGTTAAATTAGAAAACACCTTTATTGATGTTAACTATTGTATTATTTAGATGTTTTGCTAATAAAGAAGTTCAACGTTTATATAGTCGCTTTAAAGCATTAGATAACCGGGATTTTCGATTATTAATATGAGAAGATCTATTATGAATTTCAAAAGTTAATATAAATTCATTAGATGAACATTTAATTGATGTTATTATGGAAGATTATGGTGAAAATAATAAAACTAATTTTAAATAATTTATATTGCTTCTTGTAAAATTTCGACAAGGAAAAATTAAATCATGAATAACAGAATTTAATATACAGAAAAGTAAATTAAGACTTTTATTTAATGTAAGTTATTATCAAAAAAAGAACTGAATTTGCGACTAAGAAATATCTTTTAATTAGATGCATGATCATAACCATGATATAAAAATTGATTGAAATGAATTACTTGAAGTTCTTAAAATGATGGTTAGTGAAAATATTTATGATCAACAAATTGCAATAATTAGTGAATTGGCAATTGACTATGGTTACTAAATGTATAATTAATTGATCTTTTGTTATAGAATAAAGAAGGTAATAAATCAATAACATTCGAAGAGTTTTGTAAAACACTCGAACGTATTGATGCTAACGATAAAATAAGCATGAGATTTTTAAGCTGAATTTTGTAGATAAAAACTTGTATAATAACTTTTATTTGTATATATACTTCATTTTAGACATTAGATAAATGTATTTATCGTTCGAAATGATTTGTAAATGAATATATATTTCTTTGCTTGAGATAAGTCATGTAATGGGGACAAAAAAACAACAACAAGAAGAAATGTCGACAATGCGCCGGTTATTTGGTTTTGAATAAGCCGATTTTCAATCATAGTTGAATTTTATTAGACTGATAAATCGACCGGAAAATTCAAGCGCATTAGCTGTTCTTCATATTTTATTTGATAAGAACAAATTAAATAAAAATAAAAATAACAATTGAAAAATTATATAATTCTTTTTTTGACAATCTCAATTGTTTCTTAGCTTTTCCAAGAACAATATATAAAGATAAAGAGTTATTTATATATTATACAATCAAGTCTTACTGAATGGAATATTGAATCATACACGTAACGTCGAAAATATTATTTCGGATATCACTTTTTGGAAATTTAAGTTTACTTGCAAAATAATATGTGAAAACCAATGTTTACATAAAATCAATGATCACAGAGTTACATATTAATTATATAAGAAACGTTTCTCTTAATATTGCTGAAAGTGTTTTTATTGTAGATGTTACAGTTTATCCAAGGAAAAGAAAGGATTATCCTAACAAAAGTTGCAAAGAACTACATACCGAGTCTCCCAAGCAAGTATGAGTGAAGAAATTGTTGGAATAACTGATTAATTTCTCGTAGCATTAAATCAGTTCTTTTGCAGAAAGAGAATCATGATATCTATTTTAGTTGTTAACACAAAAGTGTTTGAACGTTTCTATTAGCGATATTGATCAATTTTTCGATAGTACTAATCGCCACTGTCTGAAGGTATCTGCATCAAGTAAACAATCGATCTCTCATCATGCGGTTATCTTTTCCATTGATAGGTTGACTATTATTACTGTTGCATGTCTGACTGTAACACAATTATGTGAAAGATCGAAGAATATCTTGGATTAAAAATAGTGAATTGAGATCCATATTTAGAAGAGTCTACAGTTGTTTATTGTTGAATTATAGAAAGTAAAACAGAACGAAGCAAAAATAGAGGTTAGGAACGGATAACATTTAAAATTTTTACGTTTGAACACAAATACAACAGAAATGATAAAGAGAAAAATAATTAAATAAAGTAATTATCATATTCTTTTTCTATTTCACAAATCAAACTATGCATTTAATGTTTACTAATAACCATAACATATCGATTTATTGTGCAATCTTGTAAATCCATAGAGTATTCTAATTTTACTTCGAAATCTTACTTTTTCTCTGACTGATATAGTTGTGCTTTGTTTGAAAAGATGATACATTAGTTTCACACAGTACATAACGTTGACGAGCACAATGGAATCTATAAAATTTATCTTTTAATCATATAAATTTTGAAGTGTTCCTTTTAACTAATTAAACAGAAGTACAAACTTTGTTTGTTTTGTACATAGTGAGGCTTTTCTTTCATGGTAGATAGTTTTGAACAATGTTGTATCTGTGAATAACAAGTGATGTTTTAGTTCTCTCGTTTCTTCGTTCTAATCAAAATGAAAATATGTTTTGCTGTTCTCGTAGTTTTCTTAATCTTATTTATTCAATTTGATGATGTTGGATATTTCTCAAGAACATGGCATGTCTCATGCTGATATTTATTATCCAAACGACAATAGAGAATGAAAATTTTCATTATTTAATTTTCTTGAACCATTTCGAGTTAAACATATATGATTGTCGTTTATTTCATCATATTTTTCAGTATGAATTCGTCTTTTTTTTGTATGTTTATCGTAATAAATTTCGATTTTTTTTCAGGTACTATTGCCATTACTTTAGGTTTATTTTATCGTTTGGCAATCATATGTTTTACAATAACATATTAGTATATCTTTTTTCTTGATAAAGCATCTTGGAATAATCATTCCTATTAATATGGTTTAATTGGTTTTCCATTAATGTTTTTTTTATATGCACAACAATACTGGTAAATGTTCGTGTTTTATTTGTTTTATAGAAAAAAGATCGAAGGATAAAATGTCAGTGAATGATTTCTTTTCTCTCATTTGAACTACGTAGATGAATTAATTAGAGCAATTTTGATTCTTATTTTGCGCACATTTCTCACATTGGTTCTTCTTCTTGATGAAAGTTTATTAAAAATTTATTTAAGAGTAATTATTGAATTTTTATTTTGCTGGTCAATTGATGAATTATTTCGAAAGAAAATTCATAATTCACATGTACACTTATGGAATTTATTGCAGGTTCGAAAAAAACAGATTGGAATTGAGTTACTGGACATTCAATGAATGCATTAGGTGATCATTGAGTATTTTCACCATTTAGGTACATAATTAAAAAACGAAGATGACTAATTAGTTAATAAAAATATTTTCTTTTTGGTTTTGTAGAACATTTATGACTGTAGAACAAATCACTTTGATTCTTGTACATGTTTGTGATCTTCTCTTTGATTTATTTATTTGTTTTGCACTATTTTTTGGTCGTTCATGTCCAATATGAATCTTCTTTTGTATGAGTTTCCATTTAATGAATTCTATAAATTAAGAAATTATTTTGAATGATCTCTAATTCAGATATGTTCCCATATACAATGATTGCAATAATTTCAATCTTTTTCCATAATAATTGAACACGAAAATTTTTAAAATCGTTATGCACTGAAATAGTTATGTAAAGAAAGACCATTACAATATAGTTCATGAAGATATCACACCAGAAGAATCAAACAATCAATCATTAAAATCAAAAATTTCTAATTCTAATTCAGTCAAAAATGCACCAGTTAAATCAACATTTGGTCGTAAATTTTTATTATTTTTGCCCTGCTGTATCTTTCTGAGCAGGCATTTTTATCTTTTTCACATTTTATTACAAAAAGGTTATCGTAATTGGACTAATGTAAGTTACGTCAGAGAATTCATTTTTATGTGAACGAACACATCTTTTGTAGGGTCTATATAGTTATTCATGCGATATGATGATACATAGTTGGCATAGGAATTATTCAAGTATTACGTTTCAACTATATTAGTCATTTTTTATAATAATTAGTGCTTTAAACTAAATAAAGTGATCAGAGGTAAACTAACCTTTGGAATATAAAAGAAGTTGTAATCAGAAAGAAGAAAATACTGAAATGAAATATCAAATTTAAAAACTTTTCATAAGTAAATAGAAACAAAATCTGATCGTATCAGTCGTGGCTAAAAATGAACAGAAACAAGGTTTTTCGATCTCGATAACTTATTGTTCAATGAATCAGATCATAATACTGGACAAACTTCACATGCTCATAGTTCCTGTTCTACACATCTCTAAGTTGACAAATGTCAGCTTTTTTGGGTTTTTTCTTTGAATTTTACTTCGATTCATCTGATTTATAACATATTTCACCAAAAAACATGGAAAAGTTAATTATATTTTTCAAGTTCTACTTCGAACAGCCTTTTTTTCTGGCCGTTCTAGACTAAGTAAAGTTTAATTTTTTTTCCAATTCCAGGACTGCTCTTGGACATTTCTATTCATGACCTATCTAACAGTATATATTGTTCATAGTTTGTAAGTTTATTTTAAGTGCCACAAATCAACGAAACTCTTTTTGAGACTAATTAAATGCCTGATCATAAATTTTATCATTACATATTATAAAACTCATATTTGTTGTCAAAAGGATAAGACCAGGGTTGCCAAATCCAAATTTTAGAAATCAGGAGTTTTTTGTAAAAATTCAGGAGTTGATCAGT